TTTTCTTCTTCTTCTAGTACTTCCTCCTCTCCTTCAACATCCTTTTCTTCGTCCTCTTCTTCTTTGACTTCCTCCTCCTCTAGTTTGCCTTCCTCTTCCCCACGCCGGCTGAGACCGGCCCCTCCTTTATCTTCGTTGTCCATATTGGGACGTCGGCGGGCTCGTTCATTCCCTCCTCCTCCCAGTCGCCCTCCCTCTCGACGTCGTGCTGATGCTAATCTGCGGGGTTCTTTGTCTTACCGACAGCCTGCTCTGCCACGTCGATGGCCTTCGTCGTTTACGCGCCGACCCCGCCAGATCAGATCTGCCTTTCCAGTGGTGACCGATTTGGATCTGCGGGTAGACTTACCAAATATTTGTGGTTTGACAGCCACAAATGTCTGCCTACAGGCTTATCAGCGTCAATGTTATAGTGCATCCCAATTTCTTATGATTGCTTATCAGCTTGACGCTGTTGAAAATCAGTTGTTGTTTGACCATAATAGTCCACCTGCAGAAGGTAGTAACTATACTACCTCAGGAGGCTTTACTGTAAATGTCTTACAGTTAGTGTTCCACGGCGGTCACCTTCTTATGCATCATGTGACGCCAGGCGATGACCTCAATAACCATCCTCATATTTCTACCTGTATTTTACACAGACCCAGGCATTATATGGCACTCATTCGTCCAGCTGCCCAGTGGGAACTGTAGGATGGTGGGACGATGAGTCAGGTCATTTTCGACGTGAATGTTTGCGAGCATTGTCGAATCATACTTTATTCTGGATTATTGACCGACTCTCGCGTGACACTTGTCGGGACAGAGACGCGGTGCGCCTTGGCTGTGGAATGCATCATCTATGCCATAGCCATTATCAATCTATTGCGACTGCCGCCGTCTGTYCTGAAGGGTGTCCAACATTTCCTCATTGTACACATCCCTATCACCCAGATATACGTTGTCCCTWTTGTGCCCAAGGACGCTATCAGAACTGTATGATGCCGAACTGTGATGAACGTCCTGCTGTKTTTTTGACATGTGGACAACATGTCCTCTGTCAGGACTGTTTTGATGGGATGGTTCGTGCTAGCCGTCCTGCTGAATGCTGTGCTGGCGCAGCTCTCCTTGGGCATCCTTGTGAACATCCACATCATCCTCACCGCAACTGTCCTATCTGCCGAGGTGGGGACAGGTAAAGAAAAAAAGAAGAAAAGAAAAAGAGAAAAGATATGTTGATCTGTGGGATGTGTTATTTGCTTTGTGACAATTGGATTATCTTTCTTTCCCTGTCAGGTTTGGTTTCCTCCTCCTTTTCTTTACCTCTTTGCCTTTTGGCTGCGTGCACCTCAACCTGTCATCCACGTGGCTGGGCTTGTACGTAAGAGGTGATGAACAGGTGGGGCTTTCCTTCCTTCTTTTCCTTTCGTTGTTTTCCTTTTTTCCACCTTCGCGCTCTGATTTACAGTGTGACAATATATATGAGCGTCCTGCTGAATGCTTTGCTGGCGCAGCTCTCCTTGGGTATCCTTGTGACCATCCACGCC